GGAGGGTCAACTATGAACAGACAAGGCCATACTCGAACGATGTTGTTTAGTTTTTCCTGGGCTCGTGACCAAGAAATCCGCACACTTCCACATGAACTGGAGCTTCCAGAATATGCCCCCCGACCCTGGATGGTACAACCCATCGGTGGCGAAACTATCATTACTATTCCCTGAAGGCACGTTGGTTTGACTCGCACTGCCACCTAGACTCTTGGACTCCTTCATGCGCGGCCGAGACTTGAGCTGTAGTCGAAACTCCTAGTATCCCCCTACAATGGTCCCCTATAATCCCCTATACAACCAGCCTTTCCGGAGTTTGGACCACAGTTCAGCTTGTGAGAAAGCCATCTGCTTACTGGTGGTTAGTAGGGAATCAGGGACCTTCATCCCTCTGGAGCTATGGTCTAAACTCCTTAAAGGGGAATATATGGGAGTATATAGGGGACTACTATAGGGGTCATTAAGGGGGATACTAGGAGTTCAGAGTTCAGACTAAAGATCATGTAATTCTTAGATAATAACCCAACCCCAGTAAGTCGGTCCTGTATGCCCTGCTAGGCAGTGAGTCGCGATCCAGATGTATCCACCGTGGCTACTAGTCTGGTTTGCTGTTAAGGAATTTAATCAAGTTACCATACTATGGGTATATAGTAAATCATACGGTTTCCTTATCATAGTAACCCTAAAACCCCTAAACCCCAAACCCCAAAACCCTAAACCCTACATACCCCATATACCCTGTAGTTTGCTGACCTGCAGGGCCCTCTGGGAATTCGAAGAGGTCAAGCAGCCCAAGCCCACGGACACTATGTACGCTTCAAACTCTAGTATATGGTATGTATATATACAGCATATACAAGTGGATATATATATATATATATATATATAACATAGTATATATATATATAGATACAACATATATATATATACACACACTATATATCTCTACAATATATATATATATGCAAATATGTAGTATACATACTATGAAATGATAGTGAAGAAAGAGTATGTATGGTCATGGTATTCCGAAACCCTGCGAAGGATCATGATCTACTCGTGAGGAGAATCTACTCAACCCTAAATCGAATCCTTTTCTCATCATCCCTGTCGCACCATCACCCCCCAACTCCCTCTCGCAACACCTCCGGACTACAGAAGCTATAGTCCAAACTCCCTAAAGGGGGTTATATAGGTGATTATATAGGGCAGTATTATAGGGGTTATTAAGGGGGATACTAGGAGTTTAGACAATAGCCCACATGACACTTTATGATTTCTCAAAAATGTTTCGACTGGTCTCGCAAAAATGCTGTCTGCACTTTGAGAAACCAAATCTGGTTGCTTCCCCGAAAGGAGGACCCGAAAATAGACCCCCGAATACATTATCCCGTATTGTGCAGACCGCCCAAGAATAGGTATCCGTAGTTTTGGCAAAGCCTTCTCACTATAAACCCTATAGTTCCATTTTCTTTTCCGCTTGATTCTCCACTATAGGGGCAGAATACCGGTAGACCCGAAGCCCAACCCTAAGCCCTCAACTTCAGTGCATGTTTTGAGTACACCCTAAACCCTAACCCAAGGGGACCCCCAGTTCTGAGGAGAGCATCATCCAGCGCACCTGGCGTGGTGGTGGGAAGCCGCAGGTGGCGGCGAATGAGCCGCAGGCCAGAGGTGACATAGGTTTAGGGTCTTGGGTTTAGGGTCTAGGGTGTAGGATTTAGGATTTAGGGTTTAGGGTTTAGGATTTAAGGTTTAGGGTTTAGGGTTTAGGGGATATCCAGGGATAATGAGCCATAATCGGAGGGATAGTAGGAGTTCAGACAATGGCTCACACAGCCCTAAATGTTAGGAGAACCCCCATCCTGAAATAGTGGTATAATCGGAATTTCACAGGACCCTCATATAATCCTTATCATCCCTGATGGTCACTATTGCTGGGTCGGAGGTCCACCTATGGAATATATAGGTGTATTTAGGTATATATCTGGGGATGTAGAAGTAAATAGAATATCTAGGGAGTCTCTAATAGCGAGTAAGATCATATCCTCCTACTAGGTAGGGGGTAAAGGGTTGTTCAACTGAAAGATGGGATCTCATCTCGTGTCACCAACCACCAAAACACTATTCACATGGGGATTCATGGGATCTTATGGGTTTGTTTTTGAGGGGGCTAGGGTTTTGCGATGCCTCGAGTTGGCTTTTTTTAGGAGTCTCCCTCTGTCCTCGTTGCGATGGGATGTCTCCATCGTTGATTGTGGAAGAGACAATGGGGCCCCTGATGTGTTGGAAGATGCCATTGGTACTTGATACCCGCACTTTGCTCTTCGAGACTCACTTGGCGCCGTATGTGCATCATGTAGTATCCTCTTTTTTTTGCGAGTATCTTTCTTGCTGTTCCTTACTAAGCCGAAAGCTTTGAAACGCTTGACCCCAAACCCACACTCTCAATCCTGAACGAACCGTGCCCTAAACTGAAAGCCAACAAAGCCCTAAAGACCCAGCCTGGTCCTGACATGGAGTTAGGGCTGTCCAGAAACGTTCGGTGTTTTTTGGTTCTTCCTGCAATGAAGAGTTTGATGCTTGCGATCTGTCATGTTAAATCATTGAGCTCCTTGTTTACTGCGCCGATTTGTTTGAAGTTGAGCTTACAAAGCCCCAAATCCTAAACAGCCTTGAAGGTCACTCTTCCTGAGCTGGTAGCTCAATGGCCCCCTGGTTTGGACGGCTGCGTGGCAAACTTTGTGTTCCGCAAAGAGAGCATCTTGCACGCGCTTAGGCTTAGGGGTTAGGTTTCTCAGGTTAGGGTTGAGTTCAGCCTTCACGCTGGCATTTATGTTTTGTTATGCAATGTGATAGTGAAAGATTGGGAAATGGTTTGGCAGTACAGCCAGCAGTGCGCTGCTCCAGAAACAAGTTGGTCGCAACCTAACCCTGACTTACTGGGGCTGAGTAAGGGAGAAGAGTATATTTATCATAGGGGTTTCAAAAGGGATTCTATTCCCTTATTCCCTACTAAGAACCAGTAAGCTAAACCCTAAACCCTTTTGAGGAAGCTCAGCCCCGCTCGGCCCAAACGGCCTTCGCCCGCCTGGAGGGACGAAAAGAGCGCTTAAACAAAAGAAAGAACCAAGCAAGCAGCCCCGGTCCTGGGGGCGGGGTTAGGCTATCAGGAGGGGGTGGTGATCTGCGGCCTCGGTGGATTGGGATTTATGTTATATAGGGGTGATATAGGGATAATGGAAAAGAAAATGGAAACCCTAGGTGGCTATATAGGGATATTGGAAAAGAAAATGGAAACTACTATTTAGGGTTTAGGGTTTGGGGTTTAGGGTTTAAGGTTTAGGAGCTGGTGCATAGACTGAATTCTCCATTGCTTTTGAGAGGTGAAGAACCCGCCCCTACCAGCAGCCCAGCTCAAATCGCCCGCAATAAGAATTCAAGCCACCAGTGCCAAGTAGCGCATGAGGGCTTTTTTTCACAACTTGAAACAGAAAGCGACGACAGGTGGGCATTCCAATGTACTGATAAGCCCTGCTACTCCATGCATAAGTTGGCCAAGACTTCAACAGGTAAGCCGGGCTTCACCCCTGAGTGGGAATGGATTGCCCAGCACCTGCCTCTTGGCTCGGGTCCTCAAGCGAGACAGTGTGGGGATAATGTGGGGACCATGCTGGTACTTGTTCATTACCCCGATCGAGGCCACTCTGTCGCACAGCGTCCCACGATGATCGAATCTTTATTCCTCCGCCAGTAAAGGAAACCCCAAGACCCCTTTCTAAACTCCTAGTATCCCCCTGAATGAGCCCTATGATTTATTAATGGTCCCCTATAAAATCCCTTGTATAACCCCCCTTAAGGAGTTTGGATTATGGCACAACGCAAACCGTTTGCATCCCTTCATGATCCCAGACCCAAATATATTAGGATCCTAGTTCTAGGGCCTCTAGGGACCCCCAAAAGATACAATTGTTTTTGGAAAATTATCTCCTCATACTTTTTTAAATTGTGGTTTCATATTAACATACACCAAATGTTTTTGGCACCACTTATGCACCTGGGGAGGAACTAAGACAGGGCTTCCTTGCGTAAGGTGCGTGCTTTGAACGACCATTCTGCAGAAGACCGGAAGGGGCCTAAGCTCTTCATAGCCTTTATAGGGAGCCCTCATAATCTGCATATGGTAGTTTCCCAAAATACGGGGACCCCAACATAGACCCCAAATTTACAATCATTACTATAGGGACCCTCAACAAGGTACCCGTAATTTTTGGAACTACCCATATATCCCTCGGGTCGGAAAGGCCTCCGCCCCTCTTATGAGAAAGTCTAAGGTCTCACTTTGAGGAAGGCAGTCCCATTGCCCACAAGCTGCTAAGCTGCACTTCAGCTTCAGCAAATCCGTCGGCTTACCCGTAGGGAAGGAACAGGATGCAGGGATCATCATAGGGGTTCCATAGGGAAGAACATGGTAGAGGAACCAAAAGAAAAGTCTTTAGGGAGCAGTGCAGGGATTCAGTCCTCCATTCCCTACTTACCAGCAGTAGGTCTCTGCCACCCCTCTGCTCAGACTGAGTGTGATAACAAATAATGAAATACTGTCACTATAGCAGTAAACATCAGTACTCTGTGATTGCCATTGTACCGCTTGTAGGGGCGCCTCGTGCTGCTGAATGTTCTTCCTTCTCTTGCTCTCCCCCTCTGCTTAGTGGAAAGGCCTGTGTAGCCAGCTGCTATGCCAAGCTGATTTTGTTGCACAAGCTGCGAGATGCTGTTGGAAATTGATTTCCGGCAAGATTGGCAGTTTTGTCAGGCATTGCCAACCCCAACAACAGCCTTGCTTCTTGAATCCCGCATGGGCCATAGTTCGCTGGTCAACGGACACCCGGGGCAGAGTCAAGATATTCATTCTCCAGCCCGTAGTTATTGAAAATTTGGGTTTCGCCTTCTTTCCGAGTAGTGGGAAAGCTGTTAGTCATTCTGCAGCTTGAACCTGTGAGGCTATGGTTCACTGTGGGTCCTCTCCTCAGCTGGAAGCAATTTTTCTTGAAGGGGGGCCTCTTTGAAGGGTGGTGACCCTGAGTCTTTTCCCTAGTTTGGGTTCATTACTTGGAATCTAGAAAATTCTGGTGGTTATGATTTTGCCTGGCATCGCGGTTGGAGTTCTGTGAGAAAGTCTTTGCTTCAGCTAAATCCCTGTTTGTCTGTGCTATCTTGTCAACCTCAACATCTGACGAATCTGCAAGTCGTATGTGTAATCACCCACCATTGCCCCTTTTCCTCACCTTAAAAGGACGCAGCTACTAATACTAATCATACCACTAATACTAACATTATTACAGATCTCATAGTCCTAATATTATGAATAGCATGAATATACAGATTAATATTACCAGCAATACGAGTAATACTAATACTAATACTAATACTAATACTTATACTAGTGCTCATGCTAATACTAAGATTACTACTAGGTTTTGTGATCTATCCAGCCGTGATCTGCGTTGTTAGGGATGCGCGCAGACCTGGCTTGACTTTGCTTTTGAATGCGTGAACTCTCCGCCAGCACCCATGTTGGGAGCTTGTCGGAAATTAGGGGGTCAAGATGAAGAATCAAACAAATGGAAAAGAAGACGGACAATGAAGTGAAGACCGGAGTTATATAGGTTTTTTTGGAGTAATTAGGGTTTCTGGAAATTTGGCATACCTTTTTTTGGGGTCCCTATGATAAGGATTACAGTAAATTGGAGTCCAAAATGGGGTCCCCTTTGTGGGAAATTTCCTAATTTCTGAGCACAACAAGTGTTCAATTGTGATTCACTGGAGGCTGCTATCTAGTCTAAACTCCCAGTATCCCCGCTACCCCCCACAGTAATCCCCTATATAATCCCCCAGATAACCCCTTTAGGGATTTAGATTATGGCTCATATCGGGATAACACGTGTGGCGCCCTTTTCGCTCGAGGTCTCCATCCTCACAATGCTGAGAGCTGGGATGCACAGGCGGAAAAGAGTCTCTGATGCATTAGGGTTTGGGGTTTAGGGTTTGGGGTTTAAGGGTTTAGGGTTTAGGGTTCAGGGTTTTGGGGTGAAGGGTTATTTAATCTCATTCCAGTTGTGGGCAAACGACATATCCTCTGACCCATTGCATTCACTGCAGCGCTCGTTCTTAAGTCTGTAACTCTGCATGTACAGAAGGCTGCAGCAGGTTGAGGGTTGAGCAAGGGCAGCTTCGTGGAGTCATAGACGTACTGGGGGTTAGTAGGGAAAACGGGAATATCCTATATTGGGGTTATAGAGGGATAATATTCCCATATTCCCTACTAACAAGAGGGGGATGGTGTAACTGTCGAGCACGGACAAAAAAGCAATGGAGTCATCTTGAATGTAGAAAGCGATCGCGAAGCATCTTCAGCAGTTCAACAGATAAGACAAAGGAAGAGGTATTCAAGGCTTCTATGGGGTCTCCCAAAATTAGGGGTACCATTTTGGGGGTCCCCTTCATAAGGATTATAGTATTGGGGTATATCTTGGGGTCCTCATATTTCGGGAAACTACCCTATAGGGATTATAGGGACACAATATCTGCATAATGCAAAATCAACTCGAGAGGTGAGCCTACGGTCCTTCCACGCTGCAGCCTGCACTCTGATGCCAAGGATTGTGCGCGAGCTCGCGGCCCATCCAAAGTGTGTAGGTGTGGAACCCTGGTGTGTAGTTCAGGGCTACTTGTACCTGATTGAAAGTATACAGCAGAGCTCCTCGATGTGATATGGGCTGAAGGGTCCGGCTGCCGTTCTTATAGTCCAGCTTTTCTGGCTTTTTGAACCCCTGCACAACAACCAGCCTCCTCAGTTTCTTTGCGTCTTCCCCAAGCCTTTGCTATTTTGGGGAGGGTGTGAGGAGTCCGATTTCTTAGCCAGTCTTCAATCTTTGCAGGGAAGGTTTTCTGGAATCATGTTCGGCATATTCATGACGAACCTGGTATAGCTCCAAACAAATCAGCGGTGCACGTTAATTTCAAGTGAGGAATATGAATAGGATGCCCCAATATGGACCCAAGATACCATAGTTCTTATGGTAGGGACCCCAAATAGGAGGCCATAATTCTTGGAAACCTCCGGCCCAAAGGATGATCTCATGATTACGTTGGGCATTCTGCCAAGTCCTGAAGACCCTGGCTGCGCTACAATTTTGGAGCTGCGGATGGTAGGATTGTAGGAGAATCCTCCATGGTCTGTTGGCGACACTAACTGGACTGAAGAACCCTAAACCTTAAACCGTAAGGCCTAAGGCCTCTCTTGGGGTTCCATGTCAGCTTGGCGTAGGGATTCATACTTCTCAAAATCACCACTGTATGATTCCAAATACCACCAATCTATCCCTTGGGTCCCTGACATGCAGGGTCATGGGGACTGAGTAAATAGGTTTATGATGGGAATAACTGGGGTTATTAAAGGGTTTATAGGGGTTATAGATATCCTTACTAAGTATCCCTGACCTCCCAAGCAGGGGCTCCCATTTTGAGATACTTCCGCATCTGTTTGGGCCATCAGTTTGCAGGCCTGGGCGAGTGTGGCCTCGATTTCTTCAAGCATAAGCCCGAAGAGGCGAGTCAAATGTGAGCTATATAGTCTAAACTCCTTGAAGTCATATAGGGGATATATATAGGAGAGTATTATAGGGGTTACGAAGGGGCATGTTCGGAGTTTAGACTATAGCTCATATGGGGTGTTTACACCTCGGGACCCCAGGGACATATGGGTGCAGGAACGCCCGTACCGGTATTACGACAACATCGTTTTGGATCGTTAAGCGTCTGGATGACTAAAACGGGTGCATAGGGGACCCTAAAGGCAAGTATATTTGGTAGGTGCACTGACGGGCATAGTTGGAGTGGGTGACATGGACTCGTTCTGTCAGAACTGGTTGCGATGGCATCAAGCCCTGCCATGGTGAGGTGGGGTTCAGGGAAGGCAGCTGAACCTTTAAAGCCATTTCGAAAAACGCAATCCGCAAAAGACTTGGTACAGGCCCAGATGTGCAAACTGGGTTGGTCTGTTGGATCTGTAACCTAACCCAGAAATACTTTAAATATGTCCTAAACCCTAAACTCTAAATTTTGAGCCCTAAGCCCTAAACCCCTGAACCCCTGAACCCCAAGCCCGAAACGCCTGAACCTTAAAATAGTTCTTAGAGATGCCCACAAAGGGACCACTGTCTCAGGAGGAGATTCAGCTAAAGGCCTTCCGAGCCCAGACTAAGCTGGCTGTTGAGCTGGGTAAGGCCTGGATCCATGGGTTTGGGGCTTGGGCTTTTGGGTTTAGGGTTTATGGGGGGTTTGTGGGATTCAGGCTTCATGGGGTTTAGGGTATACGGGGTTTAAGGGGGAGTTTAAGGTTTAGAACTTTTGGGCATGACCCATATTCATCGTAGACGTAGACTTAAGATCCAAATGGCTTTCCGCGCTGTGCTTACACTATCGGAGTGGTCTTGGGCCTTGGGGTGCTCTTGGAACTTGAGGATCCTTGGACGGTGCTCATGGAGTGCTCTTTGGAGGTGTTGGAGTAGTCCTGGAGCTTTTGCTCTCAGTGTGCTCTGGAACTCGTTTAACAAAGCTTTTGGGGTCCTCCTTAGAGGTCAGCTCAGTCCCGGAGATGTTGGGCCAGAATTTTGCTTTTGAACTGACCTCTGTGGAAGAACTGACCGAATTGTTTTCAAACGACCTGATGATGCCACGAGCGTGTGTGACGGCATGGACCCGGCACATTAGACCTATGAGTAGGCCAGCAACTACTTGTACTGAAGCACAGGCTGCCTTTTGCTGGCATGCCCGCTCTTCCTGGATGTTCTGAACCGTCGTCTTGCTTGTCGCAGGCTCTGGTTGTCCACGCGCGGCTGGTGACGCGAGAAAATGAGAGCCGTTTTCTGCGTGAGTTGAAGCAGCTCCTTGTCGTGCAAAACTTATCGAAGCAGGCCAAGGCAGATGCCGGATAAGGCTTGATGATGATCAAGCTAGGATCCAAAAGTGTTTTTGTCCAAGCTCGGAAGCGTGCCTTGTCTAGTTTCAGGATTCTGCGGCTGAGGGTTCAGTGTGTAGAATGCAGGCTTTAGTAAGGATTGTCATTTCCTTCAATGCGCCTGAGTTCATCATCTAGACACACACGGAGACGTATCCCACATCCGACCAAAGGATCTCTTGCAAAAAAGTTCCTGGAAACCCTTTTGCAGCAACAATTGTAGATAGACAGCTTTGAAGAGCTTATGCAAGATGTACCTAGCCTGTAGCCCTTCTTTCGTGCTCCGTACCTCAAGCAGGGCGGGATGTAGGTTGCGTTTCCCGTGCCAACTCTGCAAGCACCTGTCCTACGAGAGCCATCTTTGAGCCTTCGGAACACCCTGTGAATTGGATGCAGACTTGGATAGTGGTAGATGCACTCAAGGGTAAGTAGAGCGCTTGAGGTGTGGACCTTGAAGACTGTTTGTGCAATGTTGGAAGAATCAAAGTGGTTTGCTCACGATTCCACATGGGCTTCTGAACTTGGCAGATGCAGTGTAGGCTGGTTCCTGAGAACCACCCGATCCACATACATTGCTTCGGCGATTCCCTGCAGCATGCGGAGGACTGTTCGGGGCTTCAGGAGTCTGAGAAGTAAAAGTGCGGTTCGCGTCTCACCATGGCTAAACAAAACCCCCAAGGCCCAAAGCCCACCCAGAGTATCCCAGAGTAAGGGATCGGATCATAGGTAGACTGACGCCTGTAAAGGCTTCCCACTTTAGGTTCTCGAACGTAGTTGCAAAACTCGCGTCAGCATTGCCTTCCGCCCGCAGGAGCTGATTGCCCACTACCCCAGACTCCGCATCGGTTTCACGGGTGCCATCACCTTCTCAGACCGGCCAGGCTGGGGCGCCAGAGTTGTGTAGATTTCGTTGTGAACTGACTAGCTGAGGAAAGGGAAAACGCAAAGGCAAGAGCAAGGAGGAGCAGAGCAACGAGCTGAAGAAGGGTGAGGACTCAGATGAGTTGAGTCTTGCGCTTGGAAGCTTCAGGAATTTCAGGGCTTGGGCAACAGGTGATGGCACCCTGCGGCTCGTTCAGGATGCAAGAATGGTTCAGCCACCCGAGCACCTTTGAATCAAGCCAGGGATTACGTGAGTTGTATGCAAAACCTTGTGGCCGGAGACTCTTTTTTCGCGTTGCATTTCTTTATGCGCAACAGGAGCATTCACGAGAGCTGGTGCAGGGGCTGCCTTTGCAGCGGCTGCTGATTGACCCTTGACCTGGATGAGTCTGTTGTTGCATACGGTCTGTGGGAAACGGACGAAGAGACCGCAGCCCTGTGTGAAGTGGGTTTGGACTACATGTCAAGACCTGTGAATCACGTGACGCTGATTGCAACAGAGTCCTGAGGCCGTTTCAAGTTTTACTTCGTCTGCGCTCACCAAAAGATTGCAGGTTTTGGGGGGTTGTTGTGTCGGGAGATCCTCCTCTCAGGGCATTCAGAATTTCGAAATTTCCCAATCCCACATCACGCATCGTATCAGCCCAAAAACCTTATGCAAACCCGGTAGGTCAAAATGTCTACTTCACGTCAGGGTGTAGAAGAAGAGCTCAATGGCCAGCGCCTGGTGCCTTTTTCTGTGATATCTGGCCCCCCTTAGCCCCCATCATTTCTGCACCGAGGAGACAGATGGCCCGTACATGTGCCCAGAGCCCTTCCGTGGACAGACGGCTTCCTGACCGCCAAAAAGTCTTGTCACACTATGATCTGTCATTGCTTCCGGCACTGGTTTCGTGCTCCTCCTGCTCCTGCTTCCAGTGCAACGGCCATCCCCATTGCTACTAGCTGCTACTGCTACTGACTACTGCTGCTGCTGCTGCTGCTGCTGCTGCTCCTTCTCATTCAGTTTCTCTGAAGCCTGTGAGGCTACTGCCACTGCTGCCCCCTCTGCCACTTCCCCATGCTGCTGCCAGCATCTTTTTTGTGCTTGTCCTTGCCATTCTTGGTACTAAACCTCCGCGCCTGAGCTGTTTCTGACTTCCACATCGGTCTCCTGTAACCTAGGCTCACCCTGGCCACGTTCATCGAGTTGCAGTGCCTTGATGGAGACATATTGTTGCAAACCGTTTCACCAAGTTGTAGAAGTAAGGCAGGTGTCCCTGTTCATCAGACCATGATCGCATGCTGAAGTGCCAAACATGTTGCACATGAATCCCATACCAAACGGGTCAGTAGACAGACTTTGTGACTTTGATTGAGTCTTCTGATACTGGCACAAAGTATACATATACATATGTATATATATATACACATATTTATTTATACTTATATCCACACTGACCTGCGCAGCAGATTTTGTACGGCCTTGACATGAGTATTTCGTAGCTGGTGGCGCTATCTGCTGGCATGTCCGCCGGCAGCCCTCTCAAAGACCGAAACTCTTAAAGATGCAGAGCAAGCATGCCAACTAGAGGCTTTGACTGACAGTTTCTGTACCTTACTTTGGGCGCCTCATTGGTTTTGAGAGAGACCCCTTGAGCGGATGGCTGTCAACAGCACCGGAAATCAGGAGAAGATTGCCGAGTGGAAGAATGCAACTTGGGTCCTTAAGCAAGCTTCAAGGAGCAAGTCCAATTTTCGTAAGAAAAATGCAGCTTCTTATCGTTGTTCACTTGCCTGAGTACAAACCCCTGAGCATAGCGGACAGCAGGAAATGACTCGTGCTCGATGCCAAAAGGTGGGCTTGTTGCCTGTAGGCCAGTAAGGTTTAACATCTTGAGCTTTTCGAATTGCTTTGTTGGTATAAAGTACCACGACACTTCGGATCAGACAACAGATCGGACCCTTGGTAGGAGTCGCAGTTTCGCAAGGATTGAATTCGGTACAAAGCAGCTCGGAAGGGATGCCAAATGACGGTCGATGGCAAGCAGACCTGGAGGTTTCCGCAGCAAAGTCCAGGCATGCCGTGATTGGGCCTCTGCTAGTTGCAGCTGGCAGAACATGATGCACAATCAGTTATTGCCAAACCAAATCCGAAACAGGACTTGATCAAACCATTGTCAAGAGCCTGCCTTTGCTATATCTGACTATCAGTCAGCATTTTCTGTCCCTGGTAAACCTGCTTCCGTAGCAGGCTCCTCATTTAGAGCAGCCCCAACAGCAGAGACCCAGAATTTGGAACCAATAACAATAAGATCAATAATAAATCAATAATACGATGAATATCAATATTTTTATATTAATAACAATCATATTTCTATCATTAGTACGAATAATAGTATGCATCCTCAGGTAAATTTGGGTGACGTCATGGCTGCAACTTGGCAGAGCACGATGGACGTCTATGGCTTGGCGTGACCTTGTGAAGACGCCGTGCGGCGAGGCTCGTCAGGGGAGTGAACGCAATATGAGCTACAGTCTAAACTCCTCAAAGGAAGGTTACATAAGAGAATATATAGGGGAGTACTGTAGGGGTTATAAAGGAGGATACTAGGAGTTTAGACAATGCTTCATATGAGCTATAGTCTAAACTCCTTGAAGGGGGTAATATAGGGCACTACTCTAGAGGTTATCAAGGGGGATGCTAGGAGTTTAGACTATAGCTCATATGCCAACCCTGGAGATCTGAGGCTCTTTGGTTGAGAAAAGCATGAACCATAATCCTGACAGCGCAGATCACCTAGAAAGGCCCCCCAACCCCATTAATCACTTTGGTATATATATATATATATACTGCTACAGAACCCCTATATACCTAAGCCTGCATACTTTGTTGACTCTCTATGATGAAGACATGTGGATCGTGTGGCTGCCAGGCGTCGCCAACCTCGGCCTGGTGGAGTAGAATGGTGCTTGCTACCCCAGGTCTCTCAGAGGCACTTCTGGAGGGTTCAGGGTTTAGGGATTTAGGGTTTAGGGTTGCTTTGGGTCATTGTGTTGAATTGCTGTTGGTTCGCACCTGTGCAGGTCTTGTCAAGAGATTCAAAGCCCGAAACGCGTCGTTGCAGCACTTGGACCTGAATTTGGCTGCTTGCATTTACGGGCTAGACAGACAACATGTTGTGCCCCATGCGCGGCCGAAACTGCAATGTTGATGCGAGCTTTAGGTCGCGCGCTGCAACTGGAGCTAGAAGCTGTCTACCTAGGTGAAGACCTTGTTCAGCAGCGCAAAGTCCAAGCCTAGGTGCCCAGCGTAGCTGAGGTGCTAGACACTGCATGGCCAAGGGAATGAGGACAGCCTCAACAGCCTAGACGGCGCGGACGTGATGCGGAAAGAAGTTGGTCGTGCTGACTGAGAGGGCCGGCTCTGTCTCCGAAGCAGGAGTCTGCAGTGCTGGCACCCTTGATGGAGCCAGGGCTGGGCTTAGCCTGCCAGAGAGTTTCAACATCGCTGCAGTCACATCGGCTGCTTGGAGGTTTTGCAAACTGACCCTTGCAGGTCAAGCAAGCTGAAGCAAAAGCAATGTACAGTAGTGGCAAGAGCGGCGCATAGAAGCCGCACAAACACCAAACTGAGGAAGCGAGAGCTCAAAGGGTGTGCTGGCCTAGCAAAACACGTGTTTAAGCTGTCGCCCACGTGATGGTGATGAGTTGTGATATTCGCGCAGCAAGAGCAGTGATCCACACTGCCCTTTTTGCGAGCCACGGTACAGGAAGAGCTGGAGCTGCAAAAGCTGCGTGCTGACCTTTCCATCGCAGAGGCACAGAATTTGCCCATTGCATATAGGGGTGTCTTTCATAGGTTGGCAGCGCGTGTGGGATCTTTTTTTGGTGTGTTCTGGCTGTTCTTGTGGATAAGGATCCCGTGTACTTTTCAGAATGTGTGCTGCCTACGCTAAGGCTGTGCATTTTGAGTCGGCCAGCGTGTTGATATGTTGGGTTTTTGACTAACACGCTGTATCGGCACTGTATCGAACATACGATAGGAAGCGGCGAGCTTCAGGGAGTCGATGTTCAACCTTAAGCCAAAGCCGTTTGACCCTTACCCTAGAGTTGGCGCCCTAAACCCTACATGAGCTCTAGGCCTTGTGCCCTATACTCTCTACCTTGATGTCAAGCCGAAGCTTGAAACCCTAAACCCCTGAAGAACTAAACAATTTCGTTTTCTCGTTCATTCCCCACAGAATCCATTCAGGATTTTTTTGAAGGATCATGGCAAGAATGACCTACGCCTCTGCTTGGGCAGGCTGCGCAGAACGCGGATGCGCAGCGCTTTCAGGAAGCTACCACCGAGGCCAGTCTGAAGTCCTGGGTGGGTTTTAGTGGGCTGTCGGGTGGGGTGTAAGAGGGAGATTCTGTAGAGATTGTCGGAGTTTGGGGTTTAGGGCCAATTGGGAAAGCACTCACGGTATCGGACATATCCCTGGGTCGCTTATGACTTCTGTTGTAGGCATCACGCGTATATCTGAAGACTACGTGAATTTCTGGTCCTACCGTGGTGATACATGGGAACATCTTGGGAATGAGCGGGAATAATATGGGAAAGTGTACCTACATGATGTAGTTTATTAGAGAAGAAAGAATGCTGGTCTCGATTTTATTTCATGCAGGAGGAGCCCTGGTTTGGACGAAGGCTTGCTCTTAAGTACAAACAGAACTACAAAGTTAGTTTCACAAGTGCTTCCAAGAGCGCCTTTACATGTGCATGATGCTGTTGATCTACAGCTACTCCTGGAAACTTGTTCTGGAAATGACGCAGAATAGATCCCGCTGCGGTATCTTAATCCTCATGCAAGCTTGGTGAAACAACCGTAGGCTTCCTGATTTTGCAGTGGCAGAGAGGATCATGCGATCTCACCACGCAGCCTGCAATCTCTTCAGGTAACGGCTGCACGAGAAGAGCTGCGAGCCTTCACTCTCGAGTTTGCCGAGATGTCGGTGGCCACGGCAACTTTGATGATAAGACTAAATCAGAAGGAGTGAGATGGCATCATGTTCTGTTCGTTAAGCTTCTCCAGATTGCCCTCGCGCTGTTGACACCTTTGACTTCGATCGTTCTGCATGCCCTGCC